CCGCCGATTCGTCGATCCGAATCGCCGATTCGTCGATCCGAATCGCCGATTCGCCGATCCGGATCGGTTTTTGAAAAGCCCGATCCGGATCACCGATCCGATTTTTAAACCATTGGTTCACAGCGTTGCAAGGCTTCATCTTATAGTTAAAACAAGGGAGAGTCGAGATGGGTGAATGTCGAAGGTTAAATAATTACAGGGAAACCCCCTCTCTCTCTAGGAATATTTCCTTCTTCCCCAATCCACAACCTCTCTCTGCCTCTCTTGAAAGGTGGGTGCGAGCTGCATCGAACACCGTTGAAGTACTCTCTCTCTCTAGAAATTAACGTTCATTCTTAATCTCTCTCTAAGAAAACGTATAATCGAGTTAAATTCTTTGAGAAAAGAAAATACACTCTCTGCGAATTTAGCCACAGAGTCAAGCTTCCTGATATATATTGCCTTCTTGCATAGCATAATACTAGAGTGAGAAGGGTCTTCCATTAAAAGAATCAGATTTTCTCATTTTGTGCGTTATGGTTCTGAACATTCTGGTTTGCTCGCCATTTCTTCCATGTTGGGTTATTCTGCTGCTTTTTTTGAGCATTATTCTTGATGTTGTGTGAAGCTATTTTCCTCAGCTTTTGCATTAAAATTTTGATTGATGTCCCTTTTATATGTAAATATATGGAAGAACTTTTTCGAAAGCTTATGTTTTGTCCTATGAGTTTCATGCATATGTTCATATGTACAAATTTGTTGAATTCGTACTAAAACTGAGTGTTCTGTTTTGATATGGCATGTTGTTTGATCTGAAAAAATTGGAAGCAATTGAAACTGGTGGCGTCCTAGAACCCATATTTTTTAATGTGGGTTTTATATGGAACGAAACTAGGGTGGGTTCGAATTTGATCAGAAAACATAGTGACACAAGTAATTCATGGTGTTCCTGAACTGGAATCCATATTTGTCTGCATTCCTTTACTTCATTGAATGTACGCTGGAGCTAGAGTTTCTGCATTGATATAACTTTTGCTTTATATGAAAACATAGAAGAATGTGTGACCGGTCGTGTTCCTGAATTAGAGCCCATAATTTGGCCTTTGGTTATTTTGCTTTTTTATTTGTTGAATATATACTGAAGCTTGGCTTCCTGCATGGATAAAACTCCAGTTTTGATATAAAACAATAGAGAATATATGTCACTAATGGTGTCCAATGGTGAAAACCTATATTTTGGCATATGGGTTATATGCATTTCTAAGTACGCTCCCCTGTACTCCCTCCACTTCCTTGGATACTAAACCAGGATTCTCTGAAGAATGTGAAGATGGTATTTGGGCAAGTGGTTATTGGGCCGCCAGGTTCAGGCAAAACAACTTATTGCAATGGCATGTCACAGTTCCTCAAACTTATTGGGAGGTACCTTTTCTCAATCGTTTCTTTTTCTATTAGACAGTCTGTCCACATTCTGTTTTCCCTTGTTGCTAGTATGAATGCTTTCTGTTTCAAAATCAAGAAGATTGGACAGGTTGTTTCCTCCTTAAGAATGAAATATCTTCTTTTTACATGATGAAGAGGAATCTCATTCCAATTCCTTTTGTAGTTTAATCTTTCTCATTTTTCATGTATTACGGTCTACGAAAGGTGAGGACCTTAAACTTTCCTTTAACCTGTCCAAAGCCTGGGTACAGGGGTGGGATTGTGTTAGTAGGCTGCCAACATAAATCTTTGCCAAAACTTTTCATGAATCCGGAATCTATGATGATGATGATGATTTTTCATGTATTACCCAAGCAAGGACTTTGGGGAACTAAAGACCATAATGGAGATAATTTATTATCATTCACTCCACTTTCATTCTAGAACATCTGACTTTACCTATTGGAAAATAAGATTAAAAATAAAAATATCTAAAGCTTTGTCCTCAACATCTTTGATATATATATATATGTAATAATTGATGAGAAAAGAAATTTTCAGTTCTTATTGGTTAATGTTGGGTAACCTTGGTAGCTCTTCTTGGTTGCTGGTTGGCTAACCAGTTCCATGAGTGAGGGCACGTCATGTGGAGATATGCCATCTCTTGATTATCTTGGGCATTATAAAATGAGAGTAGCAAGAAATTCAGGGATGCATATTCTTGCTCTGGAGTGCCTAAATAATGAAGAGGGACTACAGCACTGCTGCTATTGCATTTGTATTGTAGACACGTATTTCCATGCAAGTTCAGAGAAAGTCACAATTTAGAATCACAAGATGGCTTCACTTAGTGAATTGTTTCTATTCTATGCTAGATTCCCAGGTATGAAATACTAAAGGATAAGTGAACCATGAAACCAAACTTTTGTGGTAACTATCATATGCATCTTCTTTTTTTGAGTGAAGCTCCCATATGAATCTTCGCCTTGTTGGGGTGGGGGAATTAGGGATACTGAAGTTCCATTTTCAAGGTGCTGTGGTTTAGAACCTCTAGATGTGTATGAGTAAGACATGAGGCTCTCTAGATGTGATCTGAAGTGTGGGTCCTTGTCCATGTGTTTGGCAGTTTGCAAGCCTTTGTGCTCAATGCTGATAACTTATTCATGTATATTCCCTTTCTTTTAAAATCAGATAAAGTTAATTGTAGATAACGTATTTAACAGTGTAGAACATGTATGTCTTATGGTTTAATTTTATTTTATATTTTTCCTGTTATGCCTCCCATTTTATTACGTCTATATATATTTTAAGGAGATAAGGTAGGTACTAATTAATATGAATTTTTGCGATAACATTCCATAACATTAATCACATTATTTTATGATTCACTCATCACGAAGTTTTAATAAAGGATGACAAACCCGTCCCAACAATCAATCCAGATAGGAGTTCTATCTATATTCCTAGTCAACATTCTCAAAGTCAAGATTTTCCATGGGAGTTTCTGGTGACATTAAAGCTATGAATATAATTTTCATTGCAGGCTGGTTGTTATCCATGATGATTTGTCATGTAGTCATGATCAATGAACTCCTTTTCTTTCCTTACAGTCTCTCCTTCCATTGTAAAATTCAAACATTATCAATTAATTACCTATAGAATATTGACACAATCTTTTCCTCTATCTTCATGTGATTCCCATCTTCCATCTTTAAGCTAAAAGGTGAACGCCTCAAAGCTTGGAGATGGATTTTCTTTAGGCTGGGTAAAATGAATGGAAGTTTTTATGCTTAGCCTTAAGGCTCATTAGTCAAAGCTTAGCCCTGAGGTGCATGCCCTTCTGTAAAGCATACACCTGTCTGAAAATGTGGTACAAAAAGGATATTAAAATAGAACGATGCTGTAAATGCTGTCTTTACGAAGAGATAGGGCTTGCTTGTGAAGCAGGAACTGTTTACATCCTGTGTTACCAGATTTTCTTAGCTTCTCTTTTGGCCAAAGCCTTCAGCTTTGATCTCCAAACCAAATTGAAGCTTGCCTCTATATGGCACCATGAAAATATTCTTCATTATTTTAATAAAAAAATATCAGTAGTTTGAAATGTAACTGAATATCAGCAATATTTTTAAAATATTGGAGATGTATTGAAAAAAATCGCTTAGTTATATACATTTCTGAAAACATTTTTATTTTTTATTTTTTAAAGAATATCTAAAGACTTCCCGTGAATTAGTGCTTAATCACCTGTCTTCTCATGCGAAAATGAAGCAGATTCCAAAGTGAATCAGATAACACTGGTTATACTTCCTAGTTTCCAATGAGTTTCAAAATTTCCCCCCTAAAGGATTTTAACCCTGAAGGAGTCACTGCCCTCAAAACAACTATCTTAGTAATTAATTGTACTTACGGTAGTTATTATTTTGCCATAACTAGGTTCATGGATTATGGAAAGACTGATATGGTCAAAATGTTCTATTTTTACTCCGTTTCTTCTCAATATCTAGTCTCATGGATTTATAAATATCTTTTTATTTTCTTTGGCAGGAAAGTTGCTGTGATAAATTTGGATCCTGCAAATGATGCTTTGCCGTATCCATACTTCAAGAAAACAGATTTCCTCAATAATTATGATTTCCCTGTTATTTATGATCAAAATAATATCCTTGTAATGTTTCTTCGTGATGCTGCGATATTTGAGTTTTCACTACAAATAACACAGATATGAATGTGCTGTTAACATCGAGGATCTTGTGAAACTCAGTGATGTAATGGTTGAGAAATCACTTGGTCCCAATGGAGGTCAATACTTATCAATGATCGGTTCATTTATTTAGTTTAGTTTGCATCCTAAATGTTCATATGTACTGTTCAGAACTATATTTTTTGAATAAAATATTTCTTTTTCAAGTTCTTTGAAGCAGTTACAATGCCGCACGTCATGCAGGTCTTGTTTATTGCATGGATTACTTGGAGAAGAACATAGACTGGTTGGAGTCCAGATTGAAACCTCTTATTGCTGGTTAGTATTTTGTTTTTAACTCATGAACAATTATTTGTTAAATTCTGAATGAGGATTATTATCGCATAGTGTGATATGAAGCTGGTTCTTGGTTGAGCTATACTTAGCTTTCTAGTTAAGTTTGAATGAAATTACTGAAATTGTTGCTTTTGATACTTTGAATTTAAGAAATTGTGACTATGCAACTTGAATGTGTTGTGTAGACACACACACTCTCTCTCTCTCTTTCTCCCTCCCCCCCCAAAAATAACACCCTGCCTCTTCTTTAAGAGCAATTCAACTGGTGGCCTTCTCTTATTCTCAAAAGAAAAAACAGTTGGAGTTCTTCATCTTACACTCTACCCATTTCAAAGTTAACCATGTTTGATGTATAGTAATTTTTTGTTTCCTAGTAAATTATTGGGAAAACAAGTATTTATTACTGATTTGGGTTTTTGCCCAAATGATTTGGACACTATTTGGATTTTTTTAATCGCTGTTTATTTGTGATGATTTGTTACTATGCAATTGGGCAACATATTTGGATGGTTTGGATTTCCATGCTAAGAACATAATGATGTTTGGAATTCCCTATTAGTTAGGTTATGTAGAGATGGTATGGATTGGACAGTATAAAGTACGTCTGGTGTGTTCATAATATCTTAAAACAATGTATGCTTGAATTTGTGCAAAGTATCATCATCATCATCATTTTAGCTTTTTTCCAATTAATTGGGGTTGGTTACATGAATCTTGATTCTCTATTCTGTTTTATTAAAGGCCACGTCCTCAGTGAGGCCATAAGTCCCCATATCTTTTCGTACTACTTCCAACCACGTCTTTTTGGGCCTACCTCTTACTTTTTTTAGTCATTCCACTTGAACTAATTCGCATTTCCTAACAGGTGTTGAACTTGATCGGCGCCATACATGGCCAGCCCACCTAAGTCTACTCTCTCTCATTTTATCGCCTATTGGTGCCACGCCTAAATTTGTGCAAAGTATCATGTTTTCATTTTACATAAGTCTATTTTATAAAGGTGCCGACAAACATGTCGGTTTCCTGACTTGGACATTGTGTCAGACACTGCTCTGAAAGCAGGGTTATACACAACATGACTACAATATTGAGTCAGCACGTGCACCAATGGGATTAATATATGTCTCAGCTATTCACTTAGCTATAATTATCAACAGGGACCACTATAATTTGTTTTGCCGTTGCACACCTTGTTATAGGAACGGCTTGCTTATCACTTACATGCTTCGAAAGCAGTCTCTTGATTTCGAGGTGGCTTAAATATTTCAATGAATGGCTTCATGATAGACGGACGCTAGTAAGGACATCTAGGTGGGGGAAAAGCCTCAATAGGGCATACCACAATAACAATTGTTTAGATGACTAGGGTTTCAGCCTGTGATTGCTTGAAGAAGGAAAAAAAGGAAAACAAGCCTCACTCAATTAAAAAAAAAAAGGAAAAAATTTGAGAAGATGTGTTCAGGTGGTTTTTCAATAATTTGTCAACTGGGACAGTCATTTGTTGCGTACAAAGATATGCAGTTGATCTAATGAAAGAAGATGGTTGTGCCTTCAATCTGAATTAACCCCCGGAGCACTCGTAGCTAAATTAACTTTATATTATTGGGTTTTGTAGTTTTTTTTCATGCAGCACCCATTCCATTAGAATATAATGATGTGATTTTTTCATTTTCCAGTAGTTGAGAGGGGGTTTCTGAAACTCAAGAACAACTTCTTGAATTTTGAGGTAGGAAATCTAAGTTTGAGGAATAAATTGAGTAGAGGGCATCACGTCCATTTTTTACGGTATAGGAACATTTGTTTTGCCACATCAAGGAAGCCTAGAGTCTCTAAGGGAATAGCTCTAGATACTAATTATGAAGAAAAATGTCAGGAAAGAACAAATTTTCCCAAATTTCATGATGCAAAGTTTCAATCAATTATGAATTTATGGAAGGTTTATTTCATATTTACAGTTGTTACAAACTGAAAAAGATGAGGGTATGAGTATGACCCTTGATACAACAGAATGGCAGACCGGGATTCGTGTAGCCGATCCCAAGTAGTTGGAAAAAGGCTTTGATGATGATGAAGATGATTAACAACGGAAAAAGATACTATCTTAATGACTATGATCCTCATGGCTTTGAGACGACTATGATGGTCAAACCACGTAAGAAAAATCAAGGAGTTGATCAAATCAACCGATTTACCAGAAGCATGGTTACTTTTTTTTAAAAATCATTTTATTTAGGTAACTCTTCAATTATTTTGTTAGACAATGCACAAATTGTTCATATTCTACGTTTGGAACCTTCAACAAGTGAGGGCATTATGGTAATTTGTTTACTAAAGTTACTCAAGCCAAATGACCTAAATTATCCTTGCTTCTTCGAGGTTCTCAACTTGGAACATGTTCTTTTTATCAATGTTCAAAACAGCGTAGGTGGCTGCCTACGCAGTTTGGGCTCTGGGCTGCCTAGGCACTAAGGCGGCCGCCTAGACTCAAAGGTGGTCCGTGTTTTTTTTTTTTTTTAAATTGGATCCCCCACACCTCACCCCATTTTATTGTATATACAATATGATAATGATTACAAATTAATACTATTTTTTTGGTTTACCAATAAATGAATTACTATCGCATGCAAAAAGCATTTTCGATAAATTAATAATTACAAATTAATATTATCTTTTGATTTACCAATAAATTAATAATTATTGTTACATGCATAAATTTTTTTTGATAAATTAATAATTACAAATTAATACTATTAATTTTGTTTACCAATAAATTAATTACTATCACATGCAAAAAGTATTTTCGATAAATTAATAATTATGAATTAATACTATTTTTTGGTTTACCAATAAATTAATAATTACTGCTACATGCAAAAAGAATTCTTGATAAACTAATAATTACGAATTAATACTATTTTTGGTTTACCAATAAATTAATAATTACTATCACATGCAAAAAGTATTTTCGATAAACTAATAATTACGAATTAATATTATTTTTTTGGTTTACTAATAAGTTAATAATTACTATCACATGCAAAAAGAAATTTCGATAAACTAATAATTATGTATTAATACTATTTTTTGGTTTTTTGAAAAATTAACAATTATTGTTGCATGCAAATTAATAATTATTGTTACATGCAAAAAGTGTTTTTGATAAATAAATAGTTTCGAATTGATACTATCTTTTTTGATTTATCAATAAATTAATAATTATGAATTATATAAATTATTAAATTAATAATTACGAATTAATTATCATATTTTTAAGGCGGTGCCTATTACATTGCCTAGGCCCTTGGGCGCCTAGCTTTTATCTGCCTAATATTGTCCGCCTTAACCATGCCTAGGCCTCTTTTATAAAAGTCCGCCTAGGTGGTTGGGTGGCTGATTTTTCGTTCATTGCTTTTCATTAAAATCTTCTTCCAAGTTGGGAACCCCAAACAGGCATGAGTATTTATGTCTTTCCACCTATATATATTTGTGTGTATGTATGTGTATGTGCATGTTTTTGTATGGTTAACACCCCATAGAATCCAATATGTTATATTTAGAAAGGTTGTGAACCATTTTTATTTTGATAAAGGGTAACGGTGTGAACCATTATATTACTATAGTCGCCGCTTTTTTTATTTTGTCTACAAAATGAGTACGGGCATTGTTGTCATATGAAAAGGTATTATTGATAGTTTCATTAGTTATAGAATGCGACTCTAGGTACTCTATTAATGTAAATGCTTTTGTATTTTTAGTGAAAATTCCAAAAATATCCTTGAAATGATAAAAATACCATTTGTCTTTTAGTGAAAATATCAATAATGCCCTTTTCAATGATAGAAACGCATGTACCCATTTTATACCTATAGAATATAGAAAGGGACAGCTACAGTAATTTTGGAAGTTCATACCTCTTTTTAAATGTAACCTATACAATTTCATGGAGCGTGCAGGGTAAATTATTAATTTTTTTAATTAAAATTTAAAAGCAATTGATTCATTATTTTATATTAAATGCACATGAACCACAGGAATTTTACAGTGAGTCGCATAATAAAAATAAATGAGATTATGGGCCATGGCAAGTAGGGGAGCTGAAATTTATCCTTAAACTACCATAGTCTTTCCTCAAGATCTAACTCTGGTCTCCTATCAATATAAGGCATGTAGTCAACATATACAAATATGCACGTACACACACAAACTAATATAGTAGTGTGTTTGTCTGTACAGTCTTCTTTATAATTGGCAATTTATCTAAGGGGAAAGTTTATATAGAGCTGAGGCTCTAAACAATCAAATTTGAGCCTACCTCAAGAATTTCACTAGAAGAGGTTGTTTTGATGTCGAAATATCTTCAAATTGATCATCTTGACATCAAGATGCATGTATATGAGAAAAAAATAGATTTTAAGTTTTGGAATAGTGTATTTTGTAACGTATTTTTAGACCGTCAATTTTCAAGATTTTCAAGTTTTCTTAGATGTATCGATCTACACTATTTTTGAAGCTTTAAACTTTATAAATAAATATAAAAATATATTTTAAGGCTATCACAAAGATTTCCTGTATTGAAACCACATTTCTCGACACTATTTGAAGGTAGGCTCTTGTTTGATTGTTCAGAGCCTAGGCTCCATACAAACCGGACCCTTTATCTAATCATATATCACAGTTTATCTAGTCATACATCGATTATAAAAAATTATCAAATCATATATCTAGTGACTATTGATCATGATCCCTTGTTAAATGGAATCATGATTCCATCCAAAGTGGGATCGAGATATCTTACTAGTTGAGATCGAGATCCCATGTAATCGTTTATGAGCTCCATTGGAGGATCAGCTCTGGACATGCAGATAATTGTTCATGGCGGAGGACGATCCCTTAGGGAAGGTGCTCCCTTTGCTCTGTGATTGCTAGCTGACCTAGCGATGCACGGCTAATATATCAGGCTGTTATATAAATTAGGATATCAA